AAGAACCCTATAAATTATAACTTTGACTCTTTGATCATCATGTTTTCCCTTATTACAAAGGCACAAATTTAAACCGTGTGAAAAAAAAAAAATCTTTGGAAGAGTGTTTTTGACTATAGTTTTATCAATTTGTGATATATATTCGAGCTTTTCTTATATTCTCTTTGAAGGCACATAATGGATTTTTCATTCGATAAGAATATTTACTTCTCTTATTCCTCCCCTCCCCATGTCTTAACCGTGGCAGAGAAAGGTTTTGCCCAAATACAATCATACAAAAGGCGTGTAGAAACTGTAAATTAACAAAGGAACTATAATTATACTGTAGCTTCGTGGAAAAACATAATCATAATCGGAAAATGCTTTGTTTACACAGCCAAAAAATGTAAAAAATTGTAAGAAAAAATGTTTAGTAAACAGTTTTGTGTTTTTTCGTAGCTAGCTAGTAGCTACCACATATATATTATATACTCAATTTTTTTGTAACGAAAGGTAGGTACTACAAATCAATCACCCCAACAACTGTGTAAAACAGCAAAAAGTAAACATAACAAGACATTTGATTCTCCATCGGAAAACAATATGTAACCACACTTTAGATCATCTCCAATGTAGGTGTTTAATGAATGCTTAATGGGTTGTTTATTTTTATATATAATGAATATAATCAAAAACAATCTAAAAATCTTAAACATTGTTGTTTAAATTTAGGTTTTAAGCAAATCATAAACACTTTAAACTACAAGTTGTCACAATTTTTTATAAAAATATTGGTAAACACCCATCATGGGTGCTTACCATTGGAGGTGGTCTTACGACCCCAAAAGAGAAAAGAAAAAAAAAAAGAACTCAAGTTTGGTTTAGAATGGTGTTATGTTATTATTGAACTGTATAATCTTGTTGCAAGCCAAGAACGATTCCGACACCACCCTTCTCACGAATCACATCGTTTCCATTAAAAAAAATCCTAAGGAGCTACTTTCTCTGAACTATAATATAAAACCATATCTACCGTTCAAATTCCAAACTGTATAACTCACTTTGGTATAGAAGCCGGGACACAAATGATATTGGAAGAGGAGACTCTGCGTTAGCCTAAAATAAACCTCAAGTTATACCACTCATCAGACACATAAATATATACAGTGCATTTCAGAATCACAAGGTGCAAAAGGTACAAGAATCTCATCTAAAATGGAACATGAACCAACTCACATTATTAGCATATAGATCACAAGATCAATAAGCTAAATCCTAAACCTCAAACTTCCATTACTAAACCCAAACGCACCTTGGTCATCATAATGACAATGACACTTTTCTCATAAACTCTGTTGGCCTCCATTGTTGTTTCATCTCTAAGCACTCTTCCCTCTATGAATAAGTATTTTACTTGTTCTTGTGCAGCAGGATATGCACTATTTCTTCTTCACTTTAGCAAACCTCAACATATTTATACATATTTTAAACAAACCATCAGCTCATGGAAACTAGCAATCTCATAGATGATAATTATTAAAGAACCTAAATAAGATAATTTACCAATACAAAAAGAGTCGAATCCATTCACTTTTAAGATTATACTATATGCATTTTCTTGATATATGCATAGTAATACCATTATAATAACTCACCCACAGTGACTAAACTTACAGATCAAGAAACGAATGATGAACAGAGAAACCCCTAATTAACGCCATATCAAAAAGAATCCACCTTAATGAACAAGAAAACTGCAAAATCTTTTATACTCGCTAATTAACAACTATTGTCAATCCAATAAAATTATGACATGTGTTTTATATGGTAACTGGGTTTTATTGGGCCTGTATAAGTCTATATACTTTAGCTTAAAGTTTACTTTGAAAGTCCAACATCTTCGTTACACGTATACTTCTCCAAGTGACACGTGCGAAACACGCCCATCCTCCTCTTCTTAACCGGCACAACAACATGTGAAAGAACCGGTTCAATCCCCAGCTTCAACTCCAGCTCGATCGGAAAATTCGCTGTCTCATCTTCAGACTGGTGGCTCAGCGACGAGTCGTGACTAGCCTCGTTAGCTTTCTCCTCCTGTTTAGCTTTAACCCGTCGGGTCTTGTATCTTTTCCGATGACGGCTCGAGCCATTTGCGGCGGCGTTCTCTTTCTTGGAGATATGACGAATGTCGTAAACTTTAATCGGCGGACCTTGGCCGTTCGCCGCCGTATCCGTGGCGATCGGAGTGATAGCTTCACCCTTCAAAACCGCATCGACCGCGGCTTGACAAAGCTGCCAACTTCCAGACCACAATAAACCAACCGAACCGTAGATCGGATTCACAACCCTCCCACATACTTCGTGCAACAGTGAACGGAATATGGCTGCAACAAAGTTGAAACCAGTTTACACTATCAGATACTGTCGTATCACTAAATTTTGAATCAGAATATGTAGAAACATACTGACCAGGACGAAGATGATCCGGACCGGCGTTGATGAGGTTGACGAGACCAGTACGGCCATAGAACTTAGCAAGAAACACGGTTGCGTTGGCTTGAGATTCAGGGGATTCGATCCAAGCCAAAGACGACCTTATACTGCAGTTCTCGCTACACCCTTTTCTCAAAACTCTGCATCCATTACAGCTCATCCTCATCTTGACTCCTTTAAGTTGTCTTCAAGAACCTCCAACTTAGTGATGTACTGTGAAACTTAATAATGTACGGAGTAAACAAAAAGGTTAAAACTTTAGTATCTGTGTTTGAGATTTTGCATGCGTGAGAGAGAGGAGGTGGGAGCAAAAAACGAATAATTTCCCTGTATTTTTGGGACAAAGGGTGTACAAGAAGAAGAAATGTTACAAAACAGAGAGAAAGGGTTTTGTGTTTTTACTTAAGGAACGTGGTAATCACGTCCGCGCGTATGAGGTTTGGTCGGTTCGCCGCATTAGTAAGCAGATGGTGTTTGAAAACCATCACCCCGGCCGGGACATAGTTTTCAATTTATGTCTTATGACGGACATTAGTCATTTCTTTACTCGATTTCTCTTAAGTAACTATTGTACACAAAATAAAGATGTCCATTTCCAAAACCACACATCAGCAGCTTATGGTTTTCTTTTTTTTTTTTTGTTTTTA